ACTAATGAACTATTAAATATTAGCCTTAATTTTACCAACCGGTCATAATGAGTGGGAGTTCACAAAGAGCAGGTTCTTAGAAGCGAAGCTGTGTCTCCACCCACTTGCTCACTGAGCCCCAAGGCCTAAGTGTACCCTGTGCACTCCAGCCTTCTGATCTGTCAGGGCCTCCTGCTCCTTTGCTACTTGGACTAGAGGTGGACAATTTCTGCGAGCTGTTCAAAGTAAAGGTACTGCTGAGGCTGGCAGTGCAAGCCCTGTGCCCAGCTGGCCCTTTCTATTTCTGGAGGGCAACTCTGGCTGCTGAAAAGAGGAATATACAGAAATGAAAACTGATCAAGTTGTCAACTCCCTCCCTGGTCAGAGCGTCGGGATGTCTCTTTTCACCTTCAGCCTGCAAGTCTGGCTTGGGTGCTTTCCCAATGCTGATGTCGTCCCCCTTGCTTGGTTAAAGTCTGGGGACACCCAAGAGCTGGGCCTCTGGGTGACTATAGCAAAGAAAGGAATTAAAAAATGAAGTGACCAGTACAAGTAGAGACTTTCTGCCTAGTTAAACAGATTTAGGGCTATTTTTGGTTTGCTCTTAATAAGGCAAAGGATGGAGGGCCTGCTGGGTGCCAATTTGCAGAAACAAACTCCTTCCTCAGCTCAGGGCTCAAAATATACCCCAGCTATTGCTGCCAATGTGTAGAGCAAAGCCTTAGAAGGTCAAAGTTTAGGAAGCCAAGGGAGCATCTTAACATCACAGGATTCTTGGCCCACATGGACCTGTTCGTATTTTTGAATCAGCTTAACAATGGGTTTCGGTGGGCTTTACTCTAGTACAACGGGATTAATGTGTAATGAAATGATGTTTGGGCCATCTGCAAAAGGAGGTCATTTCCCACCAATCAGAGTAAGCATTACAATCCCAAGGCAGCAAAAGTTCTGAAGCTGGAAAGAGAAAAGAAGAAAAGCAAGCTGATCCCGCATGATAAATTGGGCTGCCTTGGCCTAGCTGCCAAGCACACGCCACATTTCTCTTTAATACTACACTGTAATCGGACCACTGGCGGACGGGGTACATTTGCCTACAGTTCTCTGGCTCCAACATCTGAGAGAGGCCATTCCCTTCATGGGGAATGCTGGCAAATCCTAACATTCTTGTCAGTCTTAAAATTGGAGACTTTTCTTGAAAACAACTACCTCCCCTTCATTATTTTAGGCAGGTGAGCATGGGAGGAATGATTGCAATTTGCACCGAGCGGTGCATTAGCGGCTTTAAAAACATCTGACTGATCCCTGATTACATGAAACAAAGGCCCGAATACATTGCTTGACGGACCCATAACAGTGTGAGTTTTCTGAAATTACAGCTTTGGGAAGAAACTAAAACTGCAAGTGAACCTCAGAGCCACAGCAGTACACTCAGCACAGAACAACTCTTACAAGAATAAGAGAATTCTGCAAATCCAGTTTAAAAAAAACCACACACCACACCTGTCATTCCCAGGGAAAATAGAAGAAAAACAACAATGATTAAAGGAAAACATTCAAAAAGTAAGTTATAGGACTGGTCATAGGATCCAGTATAAAACCAGGCCAAATGCTCCTATATACCTCAGTGCAAAACAAGGACCTGAAGCAGACCATTAATCAAAAGTGGCTTCTGAAGCATGTCAATACAGCTTTAATGAGGCGTGCTTTACCAGATCCTAATTCGCTGAAAAGTCATGCTTCATTTCCATTTGAACATTCATCATACTTCATATTTAAAAAAATTAATGAGAACACCGATTCCCCAGGCCATTCTGGATGATGGGAGTCTATTATGGCCTCTTTTTTAGCCTTAGCAGGTAGATGGGGCCCAAGGCTGGCCTCCAGACAACAGGTGAGGGGAAGTCAGTGCCTCCCCAGCAAAAGTGAACTGATACTCCTAAGCGGTCTGGCTCTAAGAATGGAATGTCTTTCAAGTCTCTAGGTGTTTTTATTTTAATTATGTGAAAATTTTAAAAAATATATATTTTTATTGATTTCAGAAAGGAAGGGAGAGAAAGAGATAAAAAACATCGATGATGAGAGAGAATCATTGATCGGCTGCCTTCTGCACGCCCCACACTGGGGATGGAGCCAGCAACCCGGGCATGTGCCCTGACCAGGAATCGAACCATGACCTCCTGGTTCATAGGTCGACGCCTAAGCACTGAGCCACACAACGGCCGGGCATTTTAATTATGTGAATTTTAAATTATTCTCCACAATACATCTTTTTTAATACTTTAGCTTACTAATGAATTAAATTATTTAACAGTTTTCCCCAAACAGGTAAGACTTGACACATCAGGAAAACACACCATATTTAACCTGTCGCTAAGTGTAAGTGATCAGACCCAAAGTACCCAGCAGAGTTACCCCAGCAGGAGAAATCGGGATTCCTGGTGCTACTCAGCCACACCACCACCCTGGCTTCTTCCTCAGAGTCTAAATCACCCAAAAAAGATGAAGTGGTCATATATACATTACGGAGAGTCAAGGAAATGGTAACATAAATAAAAGTATCCAGCTCGTTCCCACAACCTACACCTGCCTCCATCCCCTTTCCAGCCACATTCTACTGAAGACAAAGTTAAATGTAGAAAGGCAGTGGCTGCATACAACATCATGTATCAAGGATAGACACAGCGTGGCACTTCAACCTGAGTTCGAGCCTCCTCCTGCAAACTCAACCTCAGGGCTGATCTCTCCCACCCAGTATTTGGCAAAGGTGAAAGATGGCTCCTTCATTCACCATCAATGCTGCAATTTCCTGTTGAGCCCAAGTACAAGTGGCACAATGCAGCAAGGGAACCAGCCGACCAGGTTTCCATAAAAGCAGCAACGTGCACATCTCTGAAATGAAGGATGACGAGGGACTCACAGAGAAAATACACAGCTGCAGTAAAACACTTCGGTAGCCATAAGAACAAAATAGCCTGTTAAACACCAAGAAGAGTCTACTGAGAAAATTTTGCTCATCATCCATCCTATGTTTGGTTTATTTCTAAAACACAGTCATAACTAAATTGGCAAACTAAACTGAAACTCCGCTAAGCACACTTTCATGCTGAGTTTAAAAGAAAAAGAAGCCTCTGCAGCCGACCAAATTAGGGATCTGATCTTACCTTCAACCTTTGCCCACCTCTTCCACATATGATTCACCAAAACCCTCCAACCGAGAAAAAGGCAGACATACAGCACTTCTAGACTACATCTGGTAATACTGCCTTACAGCACTGTTGAGAGTTAAACACAGACACACAGGTAAACTGCTTAGCACAAGTGTTGCTACAAAGCTCGGTAAGGGGGCTGGTGGTGACAATTAGCACCACATCAAATTAAAACCCTCCTTCTGACTTTCAAGGACACCTCCTACCTATCCAACTTTATATTTCATTATTTCCCAACACAGACTGTTTTCTCTGACCCCTGTCCCCACAACTCACATTTCCTAGACACATGCCCAAATTCTACACAAAATCAGATCTAACCAATCCAATGTTCGGGCCGATGTTTAAAAACCAGGATATATTACATATAACTCCAAATTTACGGCTCCTCCAGAAAAATCTGAAAACAAGCAACAGACACTATATTCCCACAGGGCACCACGTGCCTGGAGCAGAGGGGCCACTGCTCTCAGATGGAGCCTGCCAGCCAGACCCCTTGTCTACACGAAGTCCACTTCAGTGTTTTATGTCACCTCCCTGGCTCTTGGTTTGCGATCCCCGATTCTGAACATATAGAAGGTTTACCTGCATCACATTCAAACTTTTTCTTTAATACTCATCTAAAGAATGTACTTGTCCAACAGGACCCATCATATTTTCCATTTTCCTCTTCACCGCCATCACAAGCACCTATATAGCTGGCTTTCTTGTCTGGATCATTTACCTCAAGAAACCTCCTTCTTCCCACTTCCTGAATTATTACACACAAAAGATAGCAAGTTCACGTGCTATCTTCAATAGGCTCCTCTCTGTCTCATACAGCTGCCTCTAAACTGGGAGTCTGTGTCCCTGTAAACATAAAATAGCTTCACTCTGGACCTTCTAGACCACTGTGAAGAGTTTGACTGGTGAATGACATGCGTCTCCTGCAATTCACATTTTTTCCCTAGTAAAACTATTCTGGAATTCATGCAATGAAATTAAATATATCATTACAGCACATGAACAAGTTTTCAAACCTCACCAACGAGCCAGGATTGGCAACTGATAATTATATTCAAGAAGACATGGGACAGAGGAAAAGAACAGAGGACTGGGATTCAGGGCTCAGGTTCCAAGGCTAGAACTCACTGGCCAAACGATGCAGTAACTCAGTTGGCCTCTAGGGGCCTGATTTTATTTTATTTTACCTTTTTGAATATTTCCCATAGCTTCACAGATATTTTTTAATACTTTTGAGCATTTCAAAAAATATTATGGTGACAGTTCATCTGAGGCATCATTTTAAGACCGATGATTTTGAACCTCAAAAAAAATTAAATATTAAAAAAATAGATGTGATGAACTCTCTTCAAAAACTGACTTTTGTGTTTTATGCCGTTTCAAACTAGAAGTGAAGCCACCCAAGCATTCCCCAGGGTAGATTTTCATGCTGCTTGGGCGTGGGAACTTCCACTGTGGCAGAGAGACTAGTAAAGCCTGACACTACCCACTGCTGACTGCTCGCTGCATGTGTGGTCACCTCTTCTCCGTGCCTAAAGGTGAGCTTCTAGAAACTGAAAACAAGCCTGTGGGGGGAGGAAACAGGTTGTAATCAACTTCAGAACTCCTGCCTTGGGCTTATTAACACGGGGGAGGGTGCTGAATGAAGACAACCCTATGAAACCCATCTTCTGTCTGGAGGCATGTCATGGTGGTGTCTGGCTGGAGAGACAGGTTTCCTGTGTGTCTTGAATTCTGCATGGGAAAAGGTACTCAAAAGCGACCAGTTATGAGCCCTAGCCCCAGATGAAGCCACATGAACAAGGCACGTACCAGGTCGATCAGGTCACTGAGGTTTTTCTCAATTTGCTGTGGAGGCAGGCGCCTCATTAAGTCCAAGGCACAGTCCAGCTGCTGATCACTCTGTGAAAAAAGAAATAAAAGTGTCTAAGTCGTTTTGCCAACAGAAACACCAAAAACCCTCTTTTAACAACATTTTTGCAGTTTCAGCTTGCTCAGGGTATGCTAAGACCAAGCAGGCCTGCAGTGGGCCATCGGTCCCGTCTCCTGGAGGGACACTGCTAGTCTCTCTTTGATAGCAGTGTCTGTCTCAAGTGGAGGCATCCAAAAGACAAGCAAAGAAGTGGGAAGCAGGCCAGAGAGTTCAGAAAGTGACCCTGTTCTACCCACGTCAAAGTGTCATTGGCTTTTCAGCAGACCATGGGAGATGCAGATGTATTAACTCCCGATGGGTTCTGCAGTCAGCATGCTCGAATAGCAGACTAAGCTCTATCCTTTGCTATAACCTGGATTTAAACAGGTAACATTAGGTAGCACCACCGGGCCAGGTTCCTTGATGAGCTCCAAGCCAGGGAGAAAGCCAGGCAAAGAACAAGCAGCAAAATGCACACAAAGGTTCAGTGCTTCAGTCATTCACTAAAGCTTGGGACATTTTCCCTGGTGCCAGGCCCTTGCAAGACAGACAAAGACCTGAATCAAACCACTTACAGCCAAGAGGTCACACTAGCTGGCCAAGTGGCCACAAGGCAATACACTGGCGTCACTGCTGCGCAGGGGGCCTGGGAGGATAAAGATTGCTCTCGTTTACCGAGCACCTTCTTTCAGCCCTGTGTGCTTCACAGAACCCTCTTCATTTAATTTCATGATGCAAATATTTACTGAGAGCCACCCTGTGCTAGTCACCACAAATATGTAGTGAATGGTGAAGGAAGAAGGAACAATTAAGTGGGGGCAAGACTGGTAAAGTGCAAAGTAAATTCAGTGCAGAGTGGGCTGTAACAAGAAGGCCAGACCTCAGGAGGACCAACAAGAAATAAGGTGAGAAAGGTGGGCCAGGTAAAATGGTCAAGACTCTGAGGAGTACACAGAAGGCAGATGGAGCCCCCAACACTACCGCTCAGAAGCACTATCTGATCTGTATCCTGATTCTGCTCTGGTCAGGCAAATCTCAGGATTTTTTTAAAGCCCTAAATCAAGAAGCTAAGGAATCTTCATAAAATATACAAAGTAATCCTGGAAATGCCACGTTTGGCTGTAATGAAATACAACCTTTGACTATGACCATCGACACTCCTGATATATAACTTTAAACAGGCGCAGGGACAAGGATCTACTTTATATTCACCAAAGACATAATACATTAAGTTAACTGGAAGCAATTTCATTTTCAGGTAACTAATATGGCATATACAGCAGGCTATTTTAAAAGGGGGGGAGGGACTCATCCCCTGCTCAAGATGGTTATCAGTGACAATTTATTCTGGGACCCACAACACACTGGCTACCTGCAAAGAAACACACATAAACACACACACACACACCAGAAATTTTGTAGCACTTGTTTTGCTTAACGAAACATTGTAGCAACCATGAATTTCCTACTTGTGCCATGCCTTCTATGCTAGCCAAGGCCACGGTGACATGCGTATGGCTCGCTGGCATGGGAAGACATTTTAACACCATTTCTAAGGTCGAGAACACAGACCAGCTGATTTGACACTAGTAAGACATATTCCATTCCCAATTCTGCCATTCATTAACTTATAACCTTGGGCAGAGTTGTTAGTCTCTACAAGCCTCTATTCATAAAATAGAAAACATACACTTCATAGGGTTCTTGCAATGATTTAGTTAATACCTGTGAACTGTTTAATTCATAGCAGTATGTTTCTGTATGTATGCAAATACATGTCTTAAATGTTTTAAAATAAAAAATATTTTATAACATTCGTCTCAGTCAACCCAACCCCGAAGCCTTTCCTACTGCTCTAAATTGGAGGTAGGTGTTCAAACCCATAGTTGTGCAAGAATAGAAAACCTTAAATCATTCAAGTAGGCTAGTTAAAAAGTATAAACTAATGAGCTAAAGACCTCACCAAAGAAGATATACAGGCAAATATACATGAAATAATGCTTAACATCATAGAAATGTAAATTAACAATGAGATACCATTAAACACTTGAAAGAATAGCCAAAATCCAGAATGCGCTGGTGGGAATGCAAATGATACAGCCACTTTCAAAGACAGTTTGGTGGTTTCTTACAAAACTAACAGATTCTTACTATACAATTCAACAGCACTCTTTGGTTTGTACCCAAAAAAGAAATGAGCTGCCATAATGTCAATAATATTATAATAACTATATATGGTGCCAAGTGGGTACTGGAAATATCAGGGGGAACACTCTGTAAAGTATTTGATTGTGTAACTATTATGCTGTACACCTGACATTAACACAAAATAATACTGACTGCAAACTGTAATTGAAAGTAAAATTTAAAAATAAGAAAAAAGCAATGAGCTATCAAGCCATGAAAAAAACTTAAATGTAAATTACTAAGTGAAATATTAATATATCAATCTTAAAAGGGTACATAATGTGGGATTCCAACCATATAACATTCTGGAACAGACAAAACTATAAAGACAGTAAGAAGATCAGTGGTTGCCAAGGGTTGGAGGAGAAGCAGGGATAAACAGGCAGAGCACAGTCGGTTTTCAGGGCAGTGAAACCACTCTGTATGACACTATAAATGGTGGATATGTGTCATTAGAAATTTGTCCAAACCCACAGGGGAGGCTATGCATGTGTGAGGACATGGTTTATATGGGCAGCCTCTGTACCTTCTTGCTGTGAACCTAAAACTTCTTTGAAAGGTGTAAACTAGTGTTTCTTTACGGGGGCCGATTTTGCCCTTGCCACAAGCCCTCACTGACATTTGGCAATGTTTAAAGACCATTTTGATTGTCATCACCGGGAGAGGGGAAGCTACTGGCATCTCATGGGTAGGGACTAGGGATGTTTCTAAATACCCTACAATGCACAGGAAAGATGCCAACAACCTGGCCCAATATGTAAGTAGAGTCAAGTTTGAGAAACCTTGGTTTAAAACAATCAGTTTTGGGGACTAAAGACTCCCTGACTCAAAGCAAAGCTAAGGCCACAGAAAAATTGGACATATAATTCTAATTCGCAGACCATTTACAACTCCTAAAAACATCTGGTCTTTGGAAATATTCTGAACTTGGATATTAACAATCTTCCTGAGAACTAAAATAGAAATTTAGACAAAGTAAGCCTAGCTACACTGAAGCTTAAATCCAGAACACACTGGGATTTAGAAGGGATCAACTAGAAGGTGAGCAGTGCATTACCTAGGAAAAGAAAAGCTGTAACTTGGCCAGAGAAGATCAACAGGAAAAGACATTGCTTTAACCCTCCACAGAGCCCGTTCAGACTGCCAAGCTCAATATGCTGATGGCAGCCTCACCCCACATGCCAGCGCTCGTAAAGGCTTCCTTCCAGACAGCCCTCTGTACCTAGCTGAAAGCTGCAAAGTGGTTTAACTCCTATTTTGCATTAATCCCAATTAATCTTAATTGGCAATATTTCACTACAAATTTCTAAGGTTAAGGATATCTAATTTTCATTAAATTAGTAAATGACTAAAAACTTCCCATAAGGCAAGCAACATGGGAAAACTTAATGACAGCTTGTAAAAAGTTAAAATTAGAGTTAACTGGAACCCTTTGTGTGGGAGTCATCCCAAATCCTGAGGGGTCCAAACAGGAAATGGCACAAGAGAATGAGGAAAACATGGATGATCTAAGGTTCATGCATCAACACGAGCGACCCCAGAAATAGACTGATGGTGGGAGTGAGGAAGCAAGCTAGGATGCTGCCACTTTTATAAAGCTCAAAAACAAGACATACTGAACTAGAATTTAGATATAAACACACACGTGTGTATGTGTGTATTTTAAACGACTATAGCAAGGCTTTTTTTTCCTTATTAGCTAAGACAAGGGAATGATAAATATAAAGTTCAGAAGAGTAAGAAAAGTAGTTTTAAGAGGAAAAGGCACTAGGGGAAAATAAAATTTGATATTCATGTAGATCTTGCATAAAATGCTGGATTTGAGCGTTTCATATCATGATGCTAAGTCTTACATATATGTTATGTTCCTTTATGGTTATTAGCTAAAAAAATACTTAAGTTGATTTTTGTGTATGACATAAGACTGGGGTCCAGTTTCATTCTTCTGCACATGGCTGTCCGATTTTCCAAACACCATTTATTGATGAGACCATCCTTTCTCCATTGTGCATTCTTGGCTCCTTTGTCATAAATTAATTGACCACATATGAATGGTTTATTTCTAGGCTCTCTACTCTGTTTCATTTTCATTGTTTTACTTCACTAAATATTTTTTCCAAGATAACTAAAAAATAAAAACACAGAGAAAGATAAATATCACATGATCTCACTCATTTATGGAATATAATGAACAACATAAACTGATGAACAAAAACAGATCCAGAGACAGAGAAGCATCGATCAGACCGTCAAACCTCAGAGGGAAGGTAGGGGAGGGTGGGAGTAAGGGTTAACCAAAGGACTTGTATGTATGCATATAAGCCTAACCAATGGACACAGACAACAGGGGGGTGAGGGCATGATCAGGGAGGGTCGGGGGGTAATGGGGGGATAAGGACACATATGTAATACCTTAATCAATAAAGAAATTAAAAAATAAAAACAAGAACAGGCAAAGACAGAAATGGGATTCATAAGCTAAGTCCAAGGTCTACCCTGTCACTTGATGTCTGTGAGACAACCCTGTGGCCTAGGATTTTGGGCTAGACGGCTGCTAGAGTCCTTCTGGATGGGTCCCATATCCTACAGCAAGTGCAGATGCACCCACAGCGTCCCACCTGTCCTGCCCTTCAATAGCCCCCTGAAGGCCTGCAACTAGGTTTCAATTCAACAACCATGCCTTGAGTGCCAAGCCCTGTGAGTCAGGCCCGAACTAGGCCCAATGAAGGAAACCTAGTTCCAATCCTCAAGGAACCACCCACAAAATAGCAAAGAATCAGAAGGCTGCGCGGCGTGAACAAGA